TCACAAACAAACAAACACACACGCGGTGAATCTGGGGACGACCCAGGAAGTCAAAACGAATGCCCAGCACAGTAGTAGCGTAAAGACGGGTCGGGTCACTTTGGCGGAATCTTGTTTTCCTTCAAGTGGATTCTATTCTGTAAAATTAGCAGAAAAGGAAGCGGTGAATGTTCAAATCATTATTGATTGCTTGTTAACGTACAATATCAATTGGAAATAGAAATGTGGGTAATGAAGGGGCCTCCTGATTACAAATTGCCAAAGCCAATGAGATGGAAAATTGGACAGAAATCAGCGTGAGGACTAAACAAACTCTGTTCAAGACACAAGCAAATTTCAGACCAGACGGAATCACCAAGATAGGAGAAATTTCACTCTCGCTAACTGGGCAATTCTCTTCTAAAGCTCCAGAAACTGACAGAAACATGAATAGTACCACAAGCATCCAGATTATGGTCACACATATCAACACTAGGAGTTCTAAGCATGTTCCTCTATCTCCATGCAAGAAATGGAAATGCTGAGTAAATGCATATGCATCAGAACAATCCGAGAAGAAGGCTCGATGACGTAGACAATCGCAAACGATAGCAAGCGGAGCATTGAACTGAAATTTCCAACTCGATTTTCTCGATCAACTCCAGGAAAAACAAATTATCCTGCGCCGATATCGGCTCCTAGGCATCTTTCGCTACAACGATTAAGAATGCGACATCCAATTGCACCGAGGCCGACCCAATCGCGACCAAAACCGCGATCATCACTCGAGATCGCAGCGAACGACGCAGAAACAGAGCCGGAGGCTATTCCTCTTCCGAGAGAAGTCGATCGGGCGCGGAACTGCGGGGGCGACGGGATCGGGCGGGAAGGAGGACTCACCCGGAAGGTTGGGACGGCGACGGCGACCGCTGCGACGGAGCTGGCGGAGCCATGGCGGCGGTTCCTCGAAGTCGGCGATCACAAGCTCCGCCCAGGCGCCGGCGAGAGAGATCCGGCAATTGAAGCGGGGAGAGGGATCTCCGGCGGGCGAACTCGAAGCTCACGAGAGCCTCGGATTCTCCTCTCTCTTCTTTCTCCCCCTCTCCCCGTGAAATTTCCCCTCCTCCGTGAGTCCCCTCCCCCCTCCACCGTATACTCTCTCTCTTTCTCCCCCACCGCCGGCACCGCCGCTCGCCGCCGCACCCCGGACCGCCGTCTAGCCGCCTTGCCGCCCCCTACGCCACCACCACCATCCTCAAACCTCACCCTCTCACTCTCTTTCCCTCTTTCTCTCTTGGCCGTGAGCCCCAATCACCGCCCAAGCCGCGTCGTCGCCACCCAAGCCGATTGCCGCCACCCGAGAGCCGCATGTCGTCGCCGCCGTTCCGATTAAGGGCCGCCGCTTTCCGTTCTAGCCGTTTTAGCCTAGAACGCGGTAAATCATACTCTAATCCCGATTTAGGATTTTGGGTATCGTAGAACAATTTGATTTTGGGTGAAATTGGACTTGTGCGGGTGCGAAATGTTGGGGCTTTAGACCGGGAATGTATGGCGGGCCTTAAGGAATTAATTTGGAATTTTGGAGGACGATTTGAGGGAATTTTAAGCTAAGAATCACTGTTCACGAGCTGTGATTTACTGTTCACGAGGCTGTGATGCTTGAGCCTGGTAATATTATTTAATGTGCTGCGATGTGATGTTTCGTGATGCATGAATATAAGTGTGTGATTGTGTTTTGGTGAAATTGTCAGGTACGTGATGGCTAGGTTGGGTTTAGGGGTGAACTTGCGAGAAGTGTTCTCACGCGGTTGTTTCAACCAACAATTTGAGCCCCGACAGGACCCATGGATCTTCCGCCACCGCCACCAACATTTTGGAGTCCTCGTGGATGGGACGGTATAAGGGGACTCGGGCTCGAGAGGACAAGGAATCGAGACTCGAGTGGGTTTTGGTGAGCACCATTTTGGAGTAGTAGTAAACCCGGTCTCCTTCCTTGGAGTATCGGTTTTGAGAAAGGCGGTGTGCATGTACATGTATGGGACAGTTTATTAATGTAAATATTATGGTATAAGAAGGAAATGAAAAAGATATGTATATTCTCCCTATTCTCCCAGTTTAATTGTCCTGGGTTTAATTATTGATATCATTGTGGTAGTAAATCTCTGATGTGGTTTTGAGGTCGGCGATATTCTGGGACGTCGCTTGAATCGACCCGAGGCGGTGTCGCGTGCCGTAGGGGTTCGGGGCGTGACAGATATGGAGGTCGAAGGAAGGAGGGAATGCGACGATGAAGTTCCCGTCGCGAGGAGGTTTCCGTCCGTCACTGACTTCTCGATCCGGAGCTTTGGAAGAAGATGATAGGGTTTCCGGCGCGCTTGGAACAAGAAGGACAAATGGCTCTTGTTTGTTTCGGGTGGGCTTGTTTCGGGCGGGCTCGGGTAGATCAAAAACAAATTTAAGCCTTTGTTTTTACTGTTATCCAAACAAGTTAAGGCCAACTCGACCCAATATGAAAATTCCTTGTTTGGATCGGGTCAGTTCGGGTCGGGTCATGTTTGAGCGGGTACTTTTGACACCCCTAGTACTAGGGGCAAGGCTATTGGGGACCCGAGCATAGGCACAAGTATCGATCCCTTGAGCATGGCCGAAAGAGGACTCTATTACGAGCACCAGGGTCTAGGGCCTAGGCGCCAGTGAGTAAGGCATTGATTGCACTCTCAAGCATGGCTACAAGGGACCCGAGCACAGGCATCGGGGTCTTGGGCCCATCCTCGAAGGACTTGAGCCCAACCTTTGTGGACTCCGGTTCGTCCGTTGAGGTATCGAGCTTGACCTTGATGGACCTAGGTCTGGGCACCAATGACTTGGATGCAGGAGTCGAGTACTAGGTTTGGATATTGGGGACCTGGGCATAGGCACTTAGGTCCAAAGCCTGGCCTTGGTGGACTGGGGTCCAAGCGTCACTAATTTGGCCGCAAAAGTTGAGTACTCTAGAGATGGTCGCCGAGGACCTTGACATGGGTAATGAGGTCAAGAGCCCAGCCTCAAGGGACTTGAGCCCATAATTTATGGACTCGGGCCTAACCGATGAGGAATCAGGCCTGGCCTTGATGGACCTGGGCTGGGGCATTAATGACATGGGCACGAGAGCTGGGTACCTAGGCATTACCTCTGAAGACTTGGGCACGAGCATGGATGTCTTGGGCCTAGTGGTTGAGGACTAGGTCACGGGAGTTGGCATTCTTGTGCCCAAACGCCAAGGTTTTAGGTCTAAACGTCGATGTCTAGTTGTATTTGGAAAATGATTTTAATTTTTGAAAGTAGAAATCCTTTTTTCCCGAATTTATACATATTCGCAACTCTCGAAGGGGGAAGACGGGTCTAGAGGTAATGCCAAAAGTAGACCAACGGTCCTTAATCACCATGGTTTTTCCCAAACCCTTACCTTGCGAAACGTGAGGATTTTCATTTTTTGTTTGATAATCCTATGAGAATTCTATATGATAAAAGGTTGCCACTAGCCTATTGGGGCCGGTTAGGAGCCAAGTGAGATACGAGAGTACATTAGTTTGTTTGAATCTGCGCGCTTTCGGTACCCAACTTTGATTGACTTATTTTCTAAGGTGTCCACACAGTATTTTTTATCAAATTATGAACCCTAAAGGTTTCGTCCACCGAAGAGATCCAGCCATGTTTTTGAGTTGATTATGGTCCAAATGTTATAGCCTAACCATTCAACTAAACTAAAAGCACACAATTAAATAAATGAAGTAATGTAAACACAAAAAAAAATAGTAAGCAAAACTAGTAAATAGAATATGGAAAATAACCCAATATGGTGTGAGGCAAAGAATATTATGATGCTTTGTTTGTATGCCCCAAGACATGATCTCTTGGGAGCTTATTCATTGATTTTGAATCCTTATCCTAAATTCTTATTCCAATTTTAATTCTAAACTTAAAAGAGATTTGTGAGGAGAGTCCTAACTTGAACTAAGCTAATTACTACCAATTTTTATCTTTTCGATTTTCTTTAAAGGTGATGTCTATGCTAAGCTATTGAACCTATGTCTAAGTGATACTAATCCAATCATATCCCTAGAATTATTCAACTAAGGTCTAACTCTATGATCTAGTCTAATCTAGAGTCGAAATCCTAGAACTAACTTTAATCTCAAAGGAAACCAGCGAAGCTCCCCAAGTTTTTCAATCTACGTCCACGGTTCGATTCACGCACCACAATCAATAAAAACATTAGAATGCTCACAAAGGAATTGACCACAAAAGGATGCTCACAATCAATAAGGATGACCAAAAAAGGAATTCAATCTACGTCCACGGTTCGATTCATGCACCACAATCAATAAAAACATTAGAATGCTCACAAAAGGAATTGGCCACCAAAGAGTTGGGACAAATAAATGAATCGGCGGTCAGCACATCACATGCATCAAGCATATCAAGCAAGGAAAATCAAAGTTAATTAGTCAACTTGAAAAGTTAATCTCTCTTTTTTAACCCCTAATCTATCTAATTACTAATATAATGCAATGCCCATAATTTCTAAGTGCAACTGAGGTACTCGGGACACTTATCTAGTTATTTTTAGCCAAGAAACGAGTCCCGCCATGATGGGGATCTCAGATCTCAAATTTTCTAGGGTTGATCATCGAGAAAATTCAAGTGTCAACATACAAGTTCTCTTGATTATCTTGATTATGTAAACTTTTTTGATGACGCATTTTATTAAGCAATACAAACGCCGAAAAATAAAAAAAAAATGTTTTCCATTATAATGCTTTCTATTAGAATGTTTTCTGCGAAACACACAGAGCTTTATCATTTCGAGCCAAAACGAGGCCTAACTTCATTCCCAATATGACTGATTTGAATCCTTGATCGACAAAACCAGCTCCTCCAAATTTGCAGCAGGGCATCTATTTATTTTCCCGCATATTTTCCCGTCTTGTTCCTTTGCATGATTCTCAGATACAGCAACATTTGTTCTTCACAATGATGCCAATGAACGGAAGATGGTAACGAGGAATTAACTTACAGAATTCGAAATCAAAATTTATTCACACTCATTCGAGTTAATTAACGACAGTTGAGGACATATAGGGCACAATCATGTGATTCCACCAATATTGATATCGAGTCCAGCGTTGGGCGGTCAATCTTAGTGCTGCTCCATATTTCGTTGCCTGTACAAGAACTGACGGTCCGACCAGGAAGCGCCTTCGCCAGGTCGGAGACTAGCGCGGATATCTTCATGTCGTACGAGTTCAGGTTGAAAAAGGCCAGAAATATTTCTCCTGCATTGATGTAAGAACAAAACTGAGACCAAAAATAGGTCTAAAAAGTGTTCATACTTGCTTAAGTAGATCGTGTGGCAAAGCTATTAAGATCTGCTGATTAGGCCTTTGATGCTTTGTTTGAAACTGGACTTTATTGCATTTTGTTCTTTCTTAAAAAGTGTGTAGATCCAAATTATGCAAGTCCTTACGGCTTAAACTGGGGGTAGAAGGGGGGTTAGAAAGAGAGGCAATTAATAAGAATCAAACCCGATCTTCCAGTTGCGATCCAGGAGCGAGCTCCTGCTGCACCATCATTAGCTGCACAAACAATGAGGCCGTAAATAAGACATACAAAACATTAGATTTCTGGCGTTTGAGATCGGCAACCATTCTTTCTAACCTTTGAGTTTTATCATTTTAGCACATAGTCCAGAATAGCTGCTTATGAGCGTCCCGTTACCGTGAAACTTCCACATCTGCCAAAATTAAACATTCAGTTATCTTCTGCATGAATCTAAGCCGGACAATGGTGTCTAATTTGAAGACAAAAAAAAAGTGGTACAGAAAGTTGCAATAACCTCATTTACTTGATAATATCAACAGGTTCCAAAAATGCAACGAGTATGGAGTTTCCTAATTGTGTCGAAAGTTTGTCTTCTGTACTAATCTTCAACTAATAACAACAAAACATACCTGATTAGCATTCCACGTGCAGTCGGAAAACGTGCCTCTTGTGAACTCACTAGATGTGATTTTGCGTTTTGGAGAAGCATCTAAGCAGAACTCCGTATTTTCAGAAGCTAATAAGTGGAGTGGTCCCTGATATTGGCTCCCATACATTATCTCTTGTTCTCTATTACACAGCACAAACATATACAAATAGTAGTGTTATGAACAATCACGGGAAAGAGAACAGCAAAGGAAAAAGATCAGAAGTAGGAGAGCATTTTTACGATTCGGCTGAAGAATTTCTCTTGTATAGGCAAAAAGGTTCTCCATGTCTATTCTCCATGTTCTCTTTCCAGCAAATCCGTTCGAGATCTTGGTCCAGCTCTTGGACCAGCCATCCGTTTGCTTTTGGATCTTTGCAACTAGTCATACCCAATACCTCTACCTCCGACTCTTCCACACTTGTCGGGTAACTTCTAGACCGCCCATGTTTTCTAGCTCTTGCACTCGTTGACCCACTGATATATGGGAACTGTAATTTATCCACATAAGTAGCCTAAAAGTTCTTCAAAATGTCTGTCTTATCAGATCTTAAGAGAGAATACATACCTCCACATTGTTTGCGCTATGGGAATTTATCTCAAGCAGAGTAGGATTGGTGATAAGACTGAAAGTTGTATCATCAATGTTCCTCAAATCTCCACCAAACATGAGGGGGGACTTGACGATTGACCACAAAGTCACCTACAATTATAATCCATTAGCTTGAAATGTGATTTTCCGATTGAGGCAAATAGTAAAGTCACAAAAAATCCTCATCAAACACATACCTGAGTTCTTTGCTCCTTTATGTTAAGCCTACATTTCCTATGAGGGCCTTCATTTGAACCTAGTTGTTGAGAGAGTTTTCACTTTAGTAATACATCACTCCATCTACTTTTCCAAAGACATTGACAACGAGTTCACATAAGCAAGATAATTTGGAAACTGCAAAAGTTACATACGGAAGGAGCCTAGACAGCCACTGCCTACTGATGTGTGCGATTTAATTACAACCGTGAAGTATCACACTAACCATCTTCCGCATTCAAAAATGGTAGGCAACTCAACAATAAGGAAGCTTCTTCATGAGCTGTGATTTTATGCTAGGGCACATAAGATTAGCTTGCATAAGCTACAGTGGGAATTCACCGTTCATGTGCAACCCGGACAGAGTACACAATGTTGAAACCCCAAAGGAGCAGTCAAGGCATAGCCTTCGAGGGGAAGGCCTTACTATCACGTCGAAGCCTCTCTCCATCTTCACGTGGACATTAGGTTTTACAACATCACAATATTAGCATGTTAATTACTTTGTTCTGAAAATCCAAAGCGATCTGCTAGCACCTGCACTAGTGGGTGGAATCTCTCGGCTCCTCATGGAACAGTAATCAGAACCATTCGCAGGCAACATTAATTTGATAGAGTGCTAAGGCCGCTAAAACAGATTTATTCCCATTTATTAGTCCAGCCAATCCCTCAGGGGTATGATGGAGCAACAGACCTTCAAGTTTATAGGTGAATAAGACAAGCCCATTGTTATTACCTGGATCAGTGAGATATCCCAGTGGTAGCATATCAAGGTCAGGCCATGATGTCCCCAACAGGCCACTGGAACCAATCATTTTAGCAGCAGCGAAGTCTCTGATGAACAATAAATTATCAGATTATTAATGGGTAATCTAAGTCCATGACTTTTGAGCTCGACTGTCACACATTAAATCACCTTGTCACATCAAAATGTGCCACAACATGTTCCCATACATCCCAATCATCCCCAGTAATTCTGTACATGTTGCTCAATCCACTCACAGCCTTTGCCATATCTGGCGTCGCACTAGTTCCAGGAGACAGAGAATACAGGATTGGACGGTCAAGCTCCTTTAGAACCTGTGCAAGGCCACACCAGATATTGGACCCGCTTCAGTTTTCATTTGCAGAAAGGACTGTGTGAGTAGGTGAATAGAAGATAAAGAGTCATCATATCGCACCTCGGAGATGTAGGTGATCTCATTTAAATTCAGATCGTCACCAAATACACAGTCATTTTTTACTGCATCAAAATGATAAACAATTAGTATTAAAGATAGTGACTGAAGTGACTCAAAATTAAGTTCATCTACAGTCATTATATCATTGTTTGAAACTAATGAAGAAGTTTGAATTTAAGAGGTTACTGCGGTAGTAAAAATACACAAATTGCCGTCACTCACTGAAATCTACGCCCCACGATGCATATTGCTGATAAAGCGACCTCAAGAAAGCTTTTCCAGCTCCTAAGTCAGTATTTACACTCATAAATCCATGTTGCATCCAAGCACAAGTCTTCTCCTTAAAACCTATATCTTGTGCATGCCAAACCCGACCGGACTCTTCATATGCACTTCCCTAGTATGGAAACAGAATGGAAGTAAAAAAGTTATTTCAGAGAAAATTGAGGGTCACGCTTAACACTCTCACTAGGACTATGGCAGCGGATCAGTCTTCTAGATTGTTTGATGAAAGGGAACACAAATAGTTTAAAAGGAACAAACGAGGAATTTCATAACCGACGAGAAAATTTCCCTGTCAATCTTGTCTAGAAGAAGTTTTCGCAACAAGGAGAAAAATCAGCAGATGTCAGCAGATGAAAGTGTAGAGTAATACGAACAAACCGTGGTGGTATCCAGGATAGGAGAGTTAGCATTGACAGCTTGCGTGCTTATTCCTCTCATGACATGTATCCCGAACTTCAGTCCCATGCTATGGACTTTATTTGCGACTTCAGTGAACCCTTTCCCACCACTAGATGAAGGCCATCGATCTGGGTCAGGGATCATCCTTCCCCATTCGTCAATCACATCGAATCCCAGAGAATCGGCACCAGCGCCTGGCACTTTTCTTCGGTACCAAAGGTAGTCCACAACTACATACTGCATATTTTGGAGGGAATTCTTTAGTTTCACTAAGAATCCTTAGCTATTCGAGATAAAAGCAGACAATTCTATCGGTGAAATGTTACAGTTGTATAGATACAACCTCATATCCGTGAGCATGTAGCCTCTGGGAAAGGATCTCGGCATTTTGCAGAAACTCTTCTTCGGAGATGATCCAGGAATAGGAATCATAAGAATTCCAACCTCTTGGCGGGGTGCTAGCACGCTCCTCAGACGAGACACTGAAAAATTGAAATTAGTCTTACCACTTGCTTCACCCTAATTAGAACTCCTGAATACTTCACATGTTGTGCAAGAAATTTGCGACCCAATGAATTAACATCTTAAAGGGAAATACATTGCCATATACATACGAAGATTCCAACCAACGTTATTGTATAAGTTAGTATTTTTACACACGAACTTTCACAATGTGGTCAAAATACATCAAACCATTAATTTTGCTGGAGATATCCAACTCCATCTTTGTTAGAGCCACCATTGTTCAAGCAAAATAGCAACTTCATAATAAAAAACACATAATCTTTCGCAGAGTAATCTATATTAAGCAACTCACAACAAAGAATCCGAGACCAACCCAAGTCATCATAAACAGAGACATGAACGAATCTTTTTCCAAAGTCACCCAGATTGTTTCTCCATAACTTCAACGCGGAACTCACGACAAACGCGTCGACGTCCAATTTCCAGGTCCCATCATATCTCCACCATTACATAGTTTAAGTCAGCTAAAAAAGCCACCAGAGCCTATCGGGTAGGTCGGTAGGTAATTTGCATTACCAGACGAAAAACACAACGATCTTCATCACCGTATGTTCAGAACTGCCTTTCTTCTAGCCGTGCATTAAGGGAAAAAGACAAAATTTAATTCGAGTTCACAGTGAACAAGCACATGAGGAAGGCCAATGTGATTCGAGCTTCACCTGAGAACAAGGAGGAAGAAGAAGCAGTAGAAGGAAGAGAGGGGAATGGAGAGGGAGAGCTTCATCGCCGAGAGTGCTGGCCGTTGGCTTTTGAACTGAAACGCAGGAAAGAACAGAGAGAATGTGTCAACTTTCGGCGCGTTTCGTAACTACGCATACAGTGGCCAGTAGGAGGAACAAGCGGATGTTTATACTCGGATTGAGATGGGACTCATATGGAAACTCGAGTGTCCTTTGCTAATTAAAATTATAATTTTTTGAGTTGACATAAGGAAGTTTTCTTAAGAATTAATTTTCTTTCCAATCTCATATAGTTTATTACCTATTTGATCCTCTACGTAATTGTTCTTTCGGATGTCAATCAGTGTTTCCTTCTTTTGGCGATATTCAATTGGTAAATTGGCCAAGAAAGGTAAGTAACTTTGAATCTTGCCTGCTGAGGCTTTTTGTTTCCTCATGAGAGATGAAAATCCATGGTTGCGAAAAGATAGATAAATTTAAGAATCTCCTGTGTATTATCTTCGCAATTGTCCGATGTTTCGTTTTTGTTGGATCAATGAAATATCACTTTCCATTGTTATAATCTTATCGATTAAAGATAAAGGCAAAAGTTACATTATGTAAATTGGGGGGCCAATATTTTGTAACGACGTCATGACACGCGAACACAAATTATCAGTCCTTTACGAAGGTGATGCCTTTCTGGACAATTGATGTTTTTTCACACTCCAAACCTTCACCTATCTTTTCTATAGCCCTCCCAAACAGGGTATTTGAACTTCTCCCCTTATTTTCATTCACTCCTCGTTCTTTACCGAGCATTTTTGCCTTCACAATCAACGGCTAAAAGGAGGCTTTATTTATACTTGTAATATAAAGGAAAGAAGAGCTAGCATGTTTTTTCCTCGTTAATGATCTTTCCTAACCTAATTCCAGACTTATCATACTCACCCAGTTAGGGTCATCGAACAAGCGAAGCTGAGTGGATGAGTTTTTCACCGATGAGGGTGGGTCTAACCACAGTGGTCGTGAAACTACTTCGTCGTCCTTTCTTGTCCAACGGATTATAGGCGATATCCAATATTTGGTAGTGAGTGCATATCACAATGATAGAGATGAACAAGTCAATATCAAAAGAGGTTAAATTAAGGTCGGTAATTGCGAACCAAAGGTAGTAACTTTAAAGGCGTTGATAAGGCATAATAATAAACGTTGGTAGATTATTAAAACAGTTGGTAATCTTGGAAGTATGAATGAATGTCAGTACTTTTAACAAGTTGCAAATGTTGCAAGTGTCTATAAACGGTTAGTGGCTTCATATGATGAATGTTGGTGTCTTCTCAAATTAGGGTTGGAAATTTCGAATAAAAGTTAATAACTTGAAAGGCATGGCTAAGCCAGAAGAATAAAATGTTGGGAAATTATAGAAAGCTGATAAGTAATTATAGTTAGTTGGTATATTAATGTGAGGTGTAACGACCCGGTCCGACGAGGGCGGGGAGTGGTCGCCGGGGCCAGAGAGCCTGGACAAGGAGCGGCTCCTGGCAGGCTTCTAGGATGGCAAGGGAGGCATCTCTCTGTCCCACATCGCTTAGGGGGGGAGTCCTGGGGTTGCTTATAAGGCCTGGGTGGCCTATCCTGTGTAACACGTTTCACATGGGCTTGCTTCCGCTGCGCATGATGAGAACAAAGCCTTGAGGGGAAGGGCCAGAGAGCACCCTAAAGAGGACAATATTGGGCTTGGGGGAGGAATGGCCAGAGAGCGCCTCTACCCAAGACAACGCGTTTTAAAGCCGTGAGGGTCAGTGGGCCCAAAGCGGACAATATTACACAGTGTAGACCCGGGGTGTGACAAGTGGTATCAGAGCCGACTCCCGACCGCGTGTGGGGCCACAGCGAGGACACTGTGCTCGAAGGAGGGGAGAATGTAACGACCCGGTCCGATAAGGGCGGGGAGTGGTCGCCGGGTCCAGGGGAGAATGTAACGACCCGGTCCGATAAGGGCGGGGAGTGGTCGCCGGGTCCAGAGGGCCTGGACAAGGAGCGGCTCCTGGCAGGCTTCTAGGATGGCAAGGGGGGCATCTCTCTGTCCCACATCGCTTAGGGGGGAGTCCTGGCCTTGCTTATAAGGCCTGGGTGGCCTATCCTGTGTAACGCGTTTCACATGGGCTTGCTTCCGCTGCGCATGATGAGAACAAAGCCTTGAGGGGAAGGGCCAGAGAGCGCCCCAAAGAGGACAATATTGGGCTTGGGGGAGGAAGGGCCAGAGAGCGCCTCTACCTAAGGCAACGCGTTTTAAAGCCGTGAGGGTCAGTGGGCCCAAAGCGGACAATATTACATAGTGTAGACCCGGGGTGTTACATGAGGAATGTCGGAAGGAAGTAAAAAAATTAAGGTTGGTAATTTTGGATAGAGTTAGTAACTTCCACGGCATAAACCATAAAAATAAATGTAGGTAGATTTTTAAAGTAATTGGTTGTCTTTGAAGTACAAAGAGATATAGGTCAAAAATTGTTAAGTGACTAAATTAGTTGCTGATGAATGTTGGCACTTCAATAAAATTAAAGTTGGTAATTTCGTATAAAAGCGAGCACTTCTAAGGTTTCGATAAGACACAAGAATAAACATTTGTCGATTATTAAAATAGTTAGTTTTTCTTTGAAGTATAAAGAAATGTTGGTACGTTTTTAAACCAAGCAAGATTAAAAGTTGGTAAATGACTAAAATTAGTTGGTATCTTAATATGAAGAATCATGAGACATCAGTCTGATCAAGAGTTGGTAATTTCGAATGAAAGTGAGTAACTTCAAAGACGTTGATAAGCCACAAAAATATTAAAGTAGTTGATAATCTTAGAAGTACGAAGAAATGTTGTCACTTCTTTTACCACTAGGGATTTGGCCTTATGGTAAGGGCATTCTCGTGCTTTTGGCTCAGGAACCAATGGTTGCGGATTTGATTCCTATTCTGGTGAACTCACATTTAAGTGGGGGCTATGGTAGTGAATTAAGTACTAGTTCGATTCCAAGTAGCCCACTAATTACTACTGTGCCCTTGGGTTATAAAAAACGTAATTACTTTTCAAAAGCAAGTAAGATGAGATGTCACGCCCCGAACCCCAACGAGCTCGCGACATCCCCTGCTCCGGTCGAATTGTTGCGACGTCCCAGGAACGTCGCCGACCCAACCCAAACATCATAGTCACATGCGGAAGCGTATAACAAAACCCCGGACAAATAATGACGACAACGGGGTAGAACAACAGAACAATCCAGCAACCACATATTCATACAACACCAAATATACAAACATTATATTACGGACATAATTAACAAACTAGCATCCGAAATCATCTTCAACAAAATATCAAAGTCTGGTTAACTTAACTTCCCTATGGGTCAACCCGATTTACCCAACCCCCAAAACCTTAAGGAAAAACTAAGGATCGCCCTTCTCCAGACTGCTTCTGAATCTTCGGGTCTAAGCCTCCGGACACTCACCTGCAACTCCACTGGGCACCAAAAGCAGCTCCCCGGTCTTCCAAAAAGAAATGGCGCACTTCCCGGATTTAGGGTTGGGGGTCTGAAAGTGGCGGTTATACAACCGTGAGACGAATCTCAATAAGTGTACAACCCCAAACCCCACGTAGGCACTCGCGTATCGCCAGACGAAAACACGCAAAACACACAACGATTAATCAATCAAACATTCACACACGAACCTACCTGGAATCCATCATGCACGTTCCTGCATGTTAGACAATAACACAATCAATATACCACAGCAATGAATCACAGACGCGCGCGTGTCTCGATTATAGAGCAAAACCCACTTGGGCACGTCCCATACCGTGCCTAGCAGTTTTTACCCCATAATTAAGCATCACATCACGCGATACAAACACACTCGCACACCAACTCACACCACACGCCACTTTCCCAAACCTCGCACCTCAAGCCAATTCTCACTCATTCTCAACTTTTCCACCACTACCGCGCCCGCGTAAAACGCATCAGGCCAACGGTCTTCTGACCTCGTCGGGCATCGTCACCCCGTCGGGCCGAGCATCGTCATCTCGTCAGGGACGACATCGTCCCGCGTAACGTACACGCCTCAGGACGGACCTTTCCAACCAAACCACATCTCCATATCCTCGTTTCACTCAAACCACACTTACACACGGCCAACAACCACACGACCCAACACAATTCCACATTGCACACACATATCACAATTCACATACACTTCGCAAATATACGTTCTCACCACGCAAGCACACCACACAATCATACACATATGACACGCGATCCCAAAGCACAATCACACATTCTTGGCACGCGAACATATTGCGCAATCGCACTGCCACACCATCACACCTTACGGCCACACACGTGACATATACGACCACACGTACACAACCCGAAACACAATCCCAAATCAGCCAACTACCACAAATCGCACAATCACGCACAAATTTCCATTCAAGGTACAATCCCAATAATTAATCGCACAAATTAATTCCGATCAACCCTCAACATCACAGCCCTAATCCAAGCTCCCTAAACCTCAAAATTCTTCGCCTAATTAGTTCGCAACCGCCAAATAATCAGTCACTCAAATCAGTCCCGAACAGCCCCTAAAACAGTCACAAAATCGCCTAAACCGGGTCCTAAACGAGCCTAGAAATACCCGAGCTCCTAGGTAGTTTTTGGGGGAGACACTTACCTAAGAAAACAGGGCAACTCGGCTGGACAGGGGGGGTCAGAACAGTAGCAGCAGCAGCAGCGTCGCCGGCAACGTACGGACGCCAACGTACAGACACCCCCGTACGGACACTGTACGGATCCGTACGGACAGCGATGTACGGCGACGTACGGCGAGCTGGACGTCGCTGTGGCAACGGCTCGCCCGTTCGAGCTCCAGCGCGGCGGCGATCGACCTCCCGGCGTCCGGCGGTGATGAAGATCGTCGATGGCCCTCACTGTTCCGCCTGGACAGCTGCTGTGGGTGGCGATTTAGGAGAGAAAGAAAGGTCGAGGGGGGCTGAGATGATGACAGGTGGTGGCGTGTGGTGGTAGGTGGCCAGCAGCTCCGGCGGTGACACTGTTCCGGCGTGAACAGTGCCAGGAAGAGCAGAACGTGCACGGCAGAAAATGAAACGGGGAAAAAGGGAGAAAATTTTGGGGGAAATGGCCGAATGATCATCAGGAAAGAGAGAGGGTCTGGTCAAATGTGGTCAAGCTTGGTGTGAGTGGAATCCATGTGTCTCAATCTAGGCCAATTGGACAATTTTGCCCTTGATCCAATGCTATCTTTCATTCTCATACAATAATTTAGGGGTAAAATGGTCCTTTGTCACTAACCCAAGGCTGACCAGACCTGGATTAAGTCAAACTCACCTTGGTTAATCCCAAAATTAAATCCAAAATTCGGAATTGGCCAAATTAGCCCTAGGGGCATTTTCGTAATTTTTCGATCCCGAACCGAAATTTCAATTTTTGCACATACGTGTTCCATATGTGCGTGGCCAATACAATATGGCGTCGGAATCGTGAAAATAGCTTCTTAAGCCCTCGAAAATCGACTGCAAAGTCCTGGGAATAAAATAATATTATTTTTCACTTCCGAGCCAAAATTCCAATTTTTAACCATAACAACTCTAAATGAGCGTGGCCACCCCAAAATGGCATCGGCCTCGAAAAATAATCTCATACGGCCTCAAAATCGACACCGGTGACCAGAGGGGCAAAATCGTAATTTTTTCGGCCCCGGACCGAAATCCATTTTTTTGCAGAAATGGGTGGCCCCAAGGTTGGCCAAGCCAAAAACGTAATCGGCCGCTCAAAATTGTCACTTTCAAAATTCTCGATTCCCGGGCCCGAATTCCAAGAAATGACTAAAATCGAACAATCGCGACTTTAGCTTATCTCTTGCTAACGGGCGGCTCATTGGGATTACGCGCTCTCGACCCATGACCGACACTAAGTCAAATCACGTTTAAGTTTACTCTACCCAAGACGACCTCGATTGTCATATAATTGCGAGGGTCTATCGCTAGTTCCCTTCGGACACGATCAATCAAATAGACCGGTCTCGGTTGGCTTAAAACATTCCCTCGTCAATCCATATGGTCGAAGATCGAACCCAGGTCGAGTTCTTTGGTCGTGCGAACTCAATCCCGTGCTGGCCTTACCCCTACGGTTAGCATCCCGAGAATGCGTTGTTCCGGGCGAGATCTCACTATAGTGCATTGATCTATATTCATTTCCTAAATTCCGAGAAAATGATCGAAAATTCAAACTGTTACATGAAAAGTTGGCAAGTGACTAACATTAGTTGGTTTTTTAATGCGATGAATGTTGGTGCATCAATCAAATGAAAGTTGGTTATTTTGAGTAAAAGTTAGTAACTTCAAAGATATTGGTACGTTATACAAATAAGTGCTAGTACATTAGTAAAGTATATGGTAATATTGGAAGTATAAAGAAATGTACATGATTTTCAAAATCAAGCAAGATAAAAAGTTAGTAAGTGACCGGACAGTGTCCCAGCTCTTGATGCGGAGAGGCCTGATCGCTTTACCTGGAAAGGCCATTCCTCCGGTTTGTTTTCCACTTCTTCGGCATGGGATCTTATAAGAAACAAAGGCCTGCATGTTCCATGGAGCTCCTTCATTTGGGATCGAGCCATTGTGCCAAGGTACGGCTTCTTGTTATGGCTCATCTCCCTGAATAGACTCCCTACGCAAGTCATTTTGCTAAGCTATCACAGAATCTCCGAAGGTGTATGTGCATTCTGTAGAAGCAGACCCGACTCCATTAACCATCTTTTTTTTTGGTTGTGCTGTCACTGGGACATTTGCTTTGTTTTGGGCAAATAACTGTAACCTAATTTGGCGAAATACATCGTGGCAAGAAAACTTCCATTGGGCTATCCGAATTATAGGGGGTCAGAACTTTCATCAGCAAATTGCACGATTTGCTCTTGGCGCAATGTGCCATATTATCTGGTCGGAGCGAAACCACATTCTATTCAGGAATCGTCCCGTATTCATGCCGGCCCTCCGCAACCATCTCACTAAACTTGTAAGGGACAAAGGCTTGTCCATGAAGCCTGTTGTTGATAACGTCCGCAACAGAAGAATTCAGCAAAAATGGGGCATCTCCCCTTCCATTTTTGAGTAATCTTTTGATTACTTTGTAAGTAGTTTATAGGTCTTTATTTCTGTTGGCCATCTTTGTGGCCTTGGTGTTGCGCACTCATGCTTGTAGCCTCGGTTTTAGTCGCTACACCTTCGCACCTGTCGGGACACCTTTTGTGTCGCCTCAAGTGCAAGGTTTTTGTGTTTCGACTACTTTCTCTGTATGTCGCGCGTTGAAAAGTATATAAAATTCTTACCCTACCAAAAAAAAAAAGTTAGTAAGTGACTAAAATTAGTTTGTCTTAATACGACGAATATCAATACACAAGTTAAATTAAGGTTTGTAATTTCAAATAAAATTTTCTGACTTCCGCGGTGTGGGTAAGTTATAAAAACAAATATTGATAGATTATTAAAATAGTTGGTAATTTTTTAAGTACGATAAAATATTTGTACTTGTCAAAACTTGTTGGTAAGTTATAAACACAAAACTAGTTAATTAAGTTATCAAGACCTTTTATCTCTAGAGACATTTAACATTCACTAACCATATCATTGATTTATTGACACATAACTAGATCCGTTTTTATCTTACGTAATGTCAGAAACGCCTATATGGATATGATCTCAAATTATGAAATTCATTACTCCTGATATCATAAAACATGAATTGTGAAAAGAGACTCCCATGAGTATGGATCCGCGGCAAGTGAACAAGCAATCATAATTGGAAGAGTAAAAAAAGGAAGAGACTCAATTCATCATTCTTGTAAAAGAAAGCATATATCAAACATTGACAATTTTTACATCTTAGCAGTACAGAGAACGGCAATGTCTCAATCCATATCAGATTCGGATTGTCCTCCCTTTTTTCCAAGTTTTGTTTTTTTGAAGGAAAGGATATCCTACTCTTGTCATTCATATGATTCACATGAACTTTTATTCTATATATGGGCAACACAAGTAACCAAATTTTCTCCTTTTCCTGGAAAAACATGTTATTGAGCTTGGGTATCATATTTGTCATTTTTTTTTGTCAGAATTCTATTATTCTTGAATGCACCTTTTATGCTTAGTTTTATTTTTGCCATACCTTGTATAGTTATTTACTTAAATTGGCCATTACCTTTTATGGTTAATTGGCACAACAATATTACACCCTGACCTTACCTTGTACAGTTTGCATGTTCGTTTTAGTCTTTCCCTGGACAATGATCGAGTCAACCCGTCAACGTAATAAAACATAGCGTGTTTGGAGAAATCGAATTTGAGCAATTCATTTAAATCGATTTTCCCAAAATAGAAAGAAATATCCGATACTGCTCACTAGATTGGGCTTATCATTAAAGGGATATAATAGTATGAAACCTAATTATTTTTTACGAAATTAAGGACCTTCTAGAATTTGTAGATTTTGTTGATATGATTGACCGAATCTAACCTCATTTGGACCTAATATGTAATACTTATAACAAACAGGTGGCTTCCATATTTTAGTTAGCCATTGGAGATAATAGCCAATGTATTAATAGGCAAGTTAAATTAAATTGCCTACTCATTAGCATTGGTCCGTGTGGATTACTTTCTTTTATGGGATCAATAGAAATTTTGTCCGAACGCAGAAGGAAAATAAAATCTTGACCAAAAAAGTGAATCTGGAATGCTGTTAAATAGCAAGACTACCCGTAATAGAAGCAAGCCAGCACTATATAAGCTCGACGTCTGCCCCTACTTTGGCCACACCCAAGTCTTTCACTCACTATTTAATGTCTACGCTCTAAGATTACTCTGGTCCAAAGCATCAAACGAAGTTCTTCAGGCTTACTGGTTTGCCACTTTGCCCTCTTGCTCTTTTGTAAATTTTGATGTGTTCATGCAATTGTGTGTGAAGAATGACGAAAAAACGAATGTGTATTCCCATGATGTGCGACAATTAGTCAATCTTTCATAATATAACCGTTCACTGAGTGCAGTGAACATCATACAGGGTAGTGCTAAACATTTTCATTTTTTTTCATTTGTCAAGCAAACTTTTACTGTGATCGAGCCCAAGAAAGATTATAGGTGTTCTTGCTGATGTCCTGTTCCTCGACTGACGCTGTGTTCTCCTGCAGATTCTGATTGAAAATGGCTCAACCGGTGAATGCTGCTGCGCCATCCACCGATGCTCCAGCAGACGAAGGCACAATGACTGATGACCAGCGCTTCCTCTTGACCATCATTTTTGGAATATACTTCGGGCCTCATCTTAAAGGGGAAATGCCGCCCCACAAGTCGGCAATGCAGAGAGTAACCAATAGATTGCCACAGTACACTCCCGATCAGCTGGCTGGGTCCAAGATGACAGTGGCCCAAATGATGCACGTGTATTATTACATTCTCAGAAAGGCCAGTCAATCAGTTGTAGTGTCCCCAACTTTGTTGCTTAAGTTTTTTTGCAACACCGTTCTGGCCAAAGTCCTTGGTCCTAGTAGCAAATACCCTCGCTTCATCGAACTCTTTCCGAATGACCTACACCCTTGCTCGTTTGTCGAGGAGCATATGGTGATAGACAATGTCGTGTTCATTGATAACCCGAGCACCTCTTACCTCAGAGAAGAGGTTGTTGCAAGGTTTAAGAGTTTGACTGGGCTGCAGGAGTTCCTTCTGGAGAAGGATGCTGCCAAGCTACCCATTTATGTCACCGACAAGGCGTTCTATGAAGTGGTAGCACGAGAGGAACGTTCAGACGGACAATCGAGTTGTTTCGTTCCTCCTCATGGTTCTCACGGAAGAAAACGCATGAGTAACGTGGCTCTCAATGTGATACCTCTTCGAATGATTCCAAATGAAGGCTCATCCTCCTCGAAGTCATCAGGGTTCTCCGGAGAATGCAACACCAACTTCAAGGCTCAACTTGATGCTAAGTTGGTATTTTCTCCGCTCAGTGGTGGTGCTGCCACTGCCAGCAGTGCTGGAGTCGGAGTGGTTGGGAATGCGGACATGGGGCTTACAGGATCCACCACCTGGCGTGTGAACCTTGTGGATTCCAAAGACTGTTACCTGTTCCAGGTGTCACTTGCAGGGGTCAGAAGAGATCAAAGTAAGTTCCTGATGGCCTAAAAAACAAAACGTCAATGTTAATAGGCAAAGAAGCTAAATACTAAGTTTTGAGTGTTCTCTGCTTTTGCGGATTTCATATGGTGATGTTAAGGTAATAACGAATTTCTCTGAAATTTCCTCTGAAAATTCCTTTTGGATGCTACAGCATTTAGTTGTGAATATGATACGGATGGTGAGGTCTTGGTTGAAGGGGAGATAGGTGGGAATGTGGCTGAGAGCAGAACAGGAGACCTTCATCCACCTGGACACTTCTCTCTCTCTTTTCAGCTTCCTGGTCACGTCGATCCCATGCGGTCCAACTGCTACTTTGGCTCAGATGGGATCTTCGAAGGAGTTGTAAAGAAGCTGATTGACAACCAATGACCCTCAGGCAGCTCAGACTTTGAAAAGAAAGATGTTGCAATTGACCGAAACTCAATGGGACACAAATCGTGTCCTATGTTTTTGGCAGCTCAGACTTTGTAAAAGAAAGATGTTACAATTTACTGAAACTCAATGAGACACAAATCATGTCCTATGTTTTTGGCAGCTCAGACCTTGTAAAAGAAATGGAATTTCCCGAAACTCAATTAGACACAAATTGTGTCCTATGTTTGCTTCTCCTGTACTTTTTTCAGATGCAGATGTAATGCGGACAAATGGAATATAATTGCTTCTTTCTGAATTCCCACCATGAACTACATATGACTCTAAAGTCTTCAATGAATGATAGTATGGAAGGAGTTATTCAACTTTTATGTTGGTAAATGCTCAGGACAAACAGAACAGTCCGATATTATCGATACAGAATGATTATGCATTATTGATGGCTATCTCTCGTGTCAAGCTATACAATTTATCACTGTTAATATCGAGAGATAATGGAGCCATCAGGAAATTCAAAGGAAGCAATTATGGGAAACTCCTTTAGTTGTTTCCTCAAAAAATATGTTTCCATTTATGGGGGGAAATCAGAATGCCCAGGAAATTCCATCTGTTTGTGATTTCTTAGCTATCCTTCATATCTAGTCTGTGATTTATGGAAAAGCTTTTCTTGTACATATATTAACGCAGGATAAGCAAGGTAAAGAATATACCTTGTGTGGACTCTTCACGGAATTCTCTTGAACGCCTTTCACCTATAAATTTCAGAATCTCATTTTTCTGTGAAGATGGAGGAAACATTTTTTTTTTTTTTTTTGGTAACCCAGGGAACCTCCGCACGGCCGACAGCCGGGGAGTAAACCCTGGGGGCGACACGTGCTAGCCACCACACACGTGCCACCGGTTAAGTCACCCTGCGGCGCCCGGGATTCGAACACTCAACTTTTTGCGAGAGGAAAAGTGCGCGCTCCAGCAGCGCCACCCAGGCGGGTGGTGGGAGGAAACATTGAAATTGGCTTCTTCCAATAAAAGCCAAGCTAAATCTGGCAAAGTAGTCGATTAACATATAGAACAAATATGACTTGCCATTGCTCAACTTACTTTGGTTTCTTCTCATCATTGGTCACCCTCCTTGGCCGCATCATTTTCCACCACTTGTAGCTGCGACCAAACATCATGCCAATTTTAGGATGTGTTGACCCTTGGAGTCGATATCATGTTCTCCGGGTGCCAAGTTGGAAAATGCCCATGACAATGAGCCCTCATGTGGCACCATTAAAAGACACATACGTCTAGAGTTGCATCCCTTTGCGTTTTCTTTCAGGGAACAACAAGGAGGCAAGATGACACCGGCGATCCGAATAATGCTCTCATTCTAACACTTGAAATGACCCATCAAAAGCAGGTAGCCTGGTTGCATCCTCCTTCTCCACTGCAGCCCAGTCCAACTCTTTAACCTCGCAATTACCTTTGGCCTGAGGCAAGAGACCACTAAACGCAATGTCATCAATATCTGTAAGTCTCTCTTTGACAAATGAACCAAAGCTGGTCAGCGAGAAAGAGGTCGATGAAGCCTAGGATATTTGCTACCAGGATCAAGGACTTTGGCCTTCCTGAGTATGTAAGAAATTGAGCAACAAAGATGGGGTCACTGCAACAGATTGACAGGCCTTCCTGAGTATGTAATAGTACACGTGCATCATTTGTGCCAACATCATCTGGAACCCAGCCAGCTGATTGAGAGTGTATTGCAGCAATCTCTCAATTAGTCTTTGCATTGCCAATTTGTGGGATGGCCCCTCCCCTTTGTGATGTGGCCAGAAGTATCTTCCATGAATGATAGTCAAGAGGAAACTTTTAGGTCCCCGGCCGCAACAGCGCCAGTTACAGCAGACTTGACTCAGCTTCCTGACTTGGTGCACTGAAGCCTGAAGCTTCGGTATTTGAATTTGAGCTTATAATCTGGATTGATCTCTGTATTAAATTTGGTCCTTGACTAAAAAACGCGAATCACTCGAAAGTCCTTTCTCTCAAAGATCTATTACTGGATGACAGAGTTGCTAAACAATAGGAAATAAGCATTGGAGTAAGAGAAGGAGCCTTGCCTGGAAGTGGGTCATTATTGGAGAAACTCTATCTTCCATCAAGTTCAAAACCTGACTTTCCATGCTCTCAGTTGAGTCATACCAGCCAAATATCAACAAGACGACAACCATCAGGAGTTCCAGTCATTAAAACTTTACTTGAGCCCTCAGAGATCGGCATTTTAGCGTCAGAGCTCAACTGTTTTGCAGGTCAAGGCAAAGAAACAATCTTGAGGGGTTGACCGCATTCACTGCTTCAGCTATTTTGCAATCTGCACAGAAGGCCACATCGGTGAGGAACAGGTCATAGCAATAACAACATAAGTTACGCAGAAACATGAATTGCAAGAGCATCCTGAAATTCACGAAACTGAAAAAACAAAAATAAAACAAGCAATACTCAGCTGCCACTTATCTTAATGAATGAAAGAATATAAAATTGCGAAATCAGTTGTTCCCTAACAATAATTTTAGCTAGTTATGAAAGGCAGTTTGCATGATTTTCTGATTGAGTCACGAAATATTGTAAAGTTCTGAAATGCAACCATCAATTTTATAATGCCGTTGTGCTAAAATTACTACATATAGCAAATACAACAGAGATAACAGCTTTCTTTCCTCTCATTTGCAGGCTGAGAAGTACTTCAGACCAGATCTCTGACAAGAGAAGATCCACATATTGGCAAAACAGAGAGTAGTTGAGAAAAGGCTGCTATATACTTTCGGTCAGATAGCCCGGTCCTCGACGGTGTTGGAGGATTTTCCTTTGGACAAAGATGCTTCTATGCTACCCATTTATATCATCAATGATGAATTCTATGAAGCAGTAGCATAGAAGTACATTCTTTAGACCAGTTCTTGTCCTTTGATGCCCTCCACGCAGTTCTAGTGAAGGAGAACCTGACAATTGCGTGGCTTGCAGTGGTATGATGGGAATCACGCTGCAAGGGACACTTTGAGTCCTCCCATGCCTCCTCACGCTGCTCGTGAAACTTAAAAGGGAAAATGCAAATATTGCGTGGCTCTGGACGTAAGGCCTCCGAATGGTTCCAGTGTGTTCCCGTGGACCAAAGTTAATATTTTGCTCTATGTAGTATTAGCGTACTTTGCCATAGGGGTGTCAAAACCGAACACTATACCCAAACCGAAACACGAACCATTTGATTTGCTATGTTTGCCAGACTTAGCTCAGTCTCCACGGGTTAAGAAGCTAATTGCTATGTTTCCTGTGAGCTCTACAATTAAACAAAACATAGTGCGGAACTTCCGTTTTATAGCAGCTTAGTGGGAGATGTCAGTTATCATCGAAGTTAATGCATTTGATTTGCCGATATTATGCTTTGATATGGTCATCAGTGTCTGTTATCATTGAAGTTAAACTGTTTGATTTGCTGATATTTGCTTTGCTATGGTCATTACCATGCAAGAGTCCGGATGTGGTAATAGAAAGGGCAAGCCACAAATCACAACCGGATAATATTTCTTGCTTTGATACGGTCATTAGTGTCTGTTACCATCGAAGTTAACTTGTTTGATTTGCTGATATCTGCTTTGATATGGTCATTACCAGGCAAGAGTCGAGATGCGGTAACAGAAAGACAAGCCACAAACCAACGGATAAAATTTCTTGCTTTGATTTGGTCATTAGTGTCTGTTATCATTGAAGTTAACTTGTTTGATTTGCTGATCTGCTTTGATATGGTCATTACCGTGCAAGAGTCGGGATGTGGTAACAGAAAGACAAGCCACAAATCACAACCAGATAAAATTTCTTGCTTTGATATGGTCATTAGTGTCTGTTATCATCGAAGTTAACTTGTTTGATTTGCTGATATCTGCTTTGATATGGTCATTACCGTGCAAGAGTCGGGATGTGGTGACATAAAGACAAGCCACAAATCACAACTGGATAAAATTTCTTGCTTTGATATGGTCATTAGTGTCTGTTATCATCGAACTTAACTTATTTGATTTGCTGATATCTGCTTTGATATGGTCATTACCATGCAAGAGTCGGGATGTGGAAATGGAAAGACAAGCCACAAATCACAACCGGATAAAATTTCTTGCTTTGATACGGTCATTAGGGTCTGTTATCATCAAACTTAACTTGTTTGATTTGCCGATATCTGCTTTGATATGGTCACTAGTGTCTATTACCATCGAAGTTAACTTGTTTGATTTGCTGATATCTGTTTTACTATGGTCATTACCATGCAAGAGTAGGGATGCGGTAATGAAAGACAAGCCACAAATCACAACCAGATAAAATTTCTTGCGCTATATGTTTCCCCGGAAAAGGCAAGAAATATCAAGTTTTTAAAGTGTGATATCCTGAAAATTCGACTTAATTTGGTGATTTATGAAATGGTGATTTCGTCAATGCTCTATTAGTTGATTCTCGCCCTGACCTGATCACTTAGGGAATACTAACCAAAGGGGAAAGGCTGTCGAGTATTTACTTCCAACAGCCGCCAGTTAGTTCGAGATGAACTATAGTTGCGATTGATCGATTTCGGCCACGAATTATGATCCGATTTTGAGTGTCGAATGCTCAAAGATTTCATACTCAAACTATAGGACGTCGCCTCGTAATTTTTACGAATTGGCCATCGAAAATTCCAATTTCGGAAAAGGATTGAAGAATCGGAAATTCGCCGCGAGAAACGGAAGTGAACCGAGCAACGCCCGTTGGGCCTCGCGTCCGAGGGGGCCGACTATCAAGGCCCAATAAGAATGAGTCGGCCCGTAATTTGGTGATCGGGCCGAGGACAAAGTGGTAATTTTAAGGGAAAAATTGAGAAAATTACAAAAGAAATTTTGGTGGGGATAATCTTTTTCTCTCTCTCTCCCGGCTGACCTCCCCCGCTGACCTTTCCCCCTTCTTCACTGACCTCCCCCACGCCTCTGACTCCC